TGCGACCGTAACTCATGTGGGGCCCGAGCCGAGGCGCAGCTGCCAGTCGTCCAACTGAGTACATTACAATTTTTCTTTAGACCGGAAGCCCTAACAGCGTCATACGTTAGACAACCCAAATGCAGACGTCAGAAACAGACACACTGAGTGCGAGAGAGAAAGAGAGAGAGAGAGAGTTTGTGTGTGTGTGTGTGTGTGTGTGTGTGTGTGTGGTGGGTCTCTGGTTTGGTTACCTTAGTTCCGCCCGTTAGGTTTGGGGTTACCGAAAGGTTTGTTAGCCAGCTCCAAAAAATTGCCAACTCAGTAGTTGATTGTGCCAAAGCGTTCCGAGCCATAACCACATACGGGTCCAAACAAATGGCCATTATGTGTGTGCGACTCTGTGGCTGCTCCTTCTGCTTCCAGCAGAAGCTTTAAAATATGTGTCTCCATTTGCTTTTCCCTGGTTTGTTGCAATTCCTGTGGCTCTGCCTCCGGCACGCCCACTGCCATAGTTTTCAGCGGGACTTCACTGTGGGGCCACAGGATTTAATGCCGAGCTAAAGTTACAGTCGAAGCGTATACCGAAAGCACTTTAAAGGTAATGCCAATAGGTAAGCAGAAACTCTAGGATTTCCCTTAATTTATTTGTAGACTTTTAGATTTGCATTCGTTAAGCAATGAATTCAATAAAGTCATTTTAAATTACATGAAGGCGAGTTCCAATCGTTTGTTTCGAATTTTTCCCAAATTCTGATTTAGTCTACCATAAGTGTATGCAAAATTTCAACTTATCTAGATTTACTTTAAGAGTTAATGCCAAATTTTCGTGCATTTTCCCTATAATGCACGCGCAAATTTCTCAATTCACAAAACATTCCAAAAGCCAGAGGCAGCCGTGCCTAGGGGAATATGTTGCTGAATACTTTGTATATTTCATTGTCAGGTGTCCAAGCAAGAGCCTATCAGTCGGCTGGAGCCGACTGCACAATACCCGTTCAAGACCTCTAAATCGGGATTAGCTGTAAAACAAACGTCGTAAAACATTTCAGATTTGGCACGCCCACAGAAGGGCTTAGAATATGATTGTAATATTTCCTACACATTTTGTGAATGGAGAAGGTTAATGGTAGCTCAGTTGACATAGTTTGGTTTCAATGAAAACCTATATACCCTTTTCTCGCTCCCAGCGGACGAGTTTGATGGTGTGAAATTATTTTCATCAAATAAGAAATTTTGCACATGTAAACAGCGAGTCAACAGCTGAACTTTGCTGAACTGTTTCGCAAGTGCGAAAAGCGCGTAAAACCACTTAACCAAAATGACTTACAGCAGCGACAACAACAATACTATGATGAAGAAGAGGAGGGGGGGAAAACCTTGTTGAAGTTGCGCTGAGCAAAAGTTTTGGTGCGAAAAATGTCACTCAAAAACAGGAGAGGAGGAATAAGAAAGGAAGCAAAGTTGTGGCAAGTTAGGCGATATATTCGATGGATTAAACCTAAGTGTGAGAGCAAAGAGGGAAAGAAGGTAGAAAACAAAAACGTGAAAATGGAAAACTTTTCAATTGACTGTAGTCAATGGAATTTCGTTCGATTAGATGCACATCGTTGGCTGTGGCTGGAGCTGGCTGTCATGTTGCAATTACAAGTTTGACAACAAGTATTAGCTAAAGACTTTAACTAATTAAGATTCTGCATTCATGTCTCTTAAAGTGAAAAGTTGCGTTGACTGTCGGGCACTTAACTAAGTGAATTACGCACAAACTGTGGGTACGTGGGGACTAAACAAATTTGATACTAATTTCGACAACTAGTTGAAGTTATCAATAACATGCAGGCTCTGTATTAATTGATAAAGTTTGCTATTCTATTGCAAATTGTACAGGACTTTAAAGAAACATTGCTGCGAACAGTTCTCGTTTATTCACAGTTCCAAGCTGTGAAACCTCGAAGCCCACATTAGCCCAATAACCATAAGCAAAGGAGAAGCATTTGATTATTTTAGCTAACACTTGAAATAAGATCAGACGGATGTTTTTATAGATATATAGGCAATATGGCTCTTGATAAGTGAAAAATTACACTATTGTGTGGTTGCATATGAAGAGGGAAATTCTCCTTCCTCTTCGTGATTATAAAAACATTGCTAAATTGAAACTGAAGGATGTCGAATAATTCTTAAGCTTAGACCCAACATATTGCCTGGAGCTCAGAATACAACAGCATCCCGACTCATTCTCCTCACGATTGCCAATGAAATCAAAACGAGAAAATAAATGCATTTCAAATGCCAAATGTCTTTAATATATTCAACATATTTGTAGCTGTTGTTCTTTTTAGAGATACAGATGCTGTCTGATGTGGATGAAGATGCACACGTGCTTGACTCGGGCACATTAGCAAATTAAATAGCGAGTTCGCAGCGCCAATTCGGCGAAGAAAGAAAAGCGATGCCCCTGTGGAAATCATCATCAGACAGCAGTGAGCCGTTGTCCAACTGCTGTCCAGCGTCCGTGTTTGCGTTGACTGCAACTAATGACTTTTAGCTGGAGGCTGGCACGTCTGTCCGGCTGCCGTTTAGCCGAGCTGCTCTGTCAACCAAACACAATGCCGCACAAAGCGCTGAAGCACTTAAGTGCAATGCAGACCATCTCTCTCTCTCTCTTTCTCGCTCCCTCTCACTCTCGCTGTCTGGCGTAGGGTATAGAGGCGTCGAGTGGAACGAGCACGTTGCACATAGAAAGCAAAATTGTAGAATTATCAACTAAGTGTACCCGAGTGGGGTAGGCATGCCTGCACTGATACCCTGCAAAAAAACTAAAAATTACAGTAAATCTACCATCTAAAGCAGAGCCAAAGAACGGAATCTTCTGATGATGATGATTTTGCAAATGAAACGCAATATATAGTTTTTGGCTACCAACTGAATGCATATGGCCGTTGCGAAATGCGCATTGCCTACAGGGTATTTAAGTGGCAGCTATCCACTAAATGGAGGATTGGGCTTGGCTTCTCATATTTGCGCGTTTGCATGCAAATGCCAAAAGCTCTGCACGTTTGTTGGCATTTGCCGAGGCATACACAAACACAAATAGTTCACTATATGCATAAACGTATGTAGGTATGCGTGTATGTGTGTGCGTGCACAGATGGTGCTTACACACATATAAATAATTGCATCTCTTTCTGCATAAAACACTTCCGGTTCATTTAACCGCTGGCAACGGGAATGTGCATCTGGATGAGGATCTCATGTGGCGCCATTTGAACCTTGCCTTCATGCGAAATTGATTTCAATGAGCATTCGCATACGCAGCTCAGCAGGCAGCGCCATCTACAGGTCGCAACTGTAACTTCAATATGCAAAGGCATCGCAGCAGCAGGTTGCGAGTGGCAACAGATGCGCTAAGTTTTGGCTTGTCAAATCGTTACGGTTGAATGTGAAATTGCTGGAAGCAGCAAATGCAGCAGCCAGAAAGCAACTTCTCCTGGCAGTACTGTATCACATTGCTCCACAGCAAGCTAAATAGGAATAAATAGGAATGCTTTAATTGGGGAATTGAGGAATAGAAGAAAATATAAATGTTCTAAATGATCTCCTAATTTTAAATTAATTTGTATGTGTATTAAGTATAATCTAATTTCACATTTCATCAGATGAAGAATTAAGTCCTGCATTCATATGGATATGCAGAGATTCATTTTACATTGTTGGAACTATAACTAGACTAAATGAAAAAACTTTAAAACTCAATATTTCAACAGGATAATTCTAATACTGAAGTGTTCTACTCGATGTTCATCTGCGTTATTTCTTTATTTACTTTTTCATCTCTTAGTTCATTGCCATTGCCATATGGAAATTTGGGCGATTTCCTCAATACTAACATATGTCTAAAGTTGATTTTTGTATGTATCTGTAAGGAGACATGTTTCTATTGCTCTACAACAACACACACACATACACACACAGAGAGAGAGCAAGTACAACAAGTGTAACAGGCGGTGAAACCAGAAAAATGGCAAAGCGACCAAATCAAATGAAACCCTTCATCAGTTTGGGGCACCGACCGAATGCCAAAAAACGAACCAAACAAAACAAAAGGAAACTCTACACCAATATGTATATACCCTATCCAAAAGTAGAACCATAACAATATACAAGTATGCAGATTTCTAGTTGAATAAAGATTTAATTGGTGCGCCATAAAAAACTGAAGCTGAAACTGAATTTAGATAAGGACTAATCTAATATATTGCTTGGCCTACACAGACTTGAACATAATCGTATAGTTTATATAATCGAAGAGAAATATATCACAGGTCGTGACATAATTTGTATACCCTCTAGAAGAGTGTAGGCAAAAACGAGCCACAGATTTGGCATATGTACGACAAACGTGCGTAAAAGTTTTTGCCTTCTGCTCCACGAAAACTCAATTTTTTTTCTGATTTGTTCCTTTTTGAAGCTCGCTTGACAACAATGATAGCGACAATGAAGCGCCTGTCAAGGGCTGTCGGGGTGTGCGGAGAGTGGGACTTGAGCAAATCCCTCTCCGATTCCAGCCTGGCTGATTGCGGACTTTCGTCTGTCGTCTGTGGCCAAATGGCATGCCGAATGCCCAAATGTTTCGACATGCTTGTGCATGCCTTGCTGCTAGTTTGTAAGTCGGCTATTCTCGTTTTTTGTCTGGTTGGCTATTTGTTTTTGGCCGAAAGACACCAGCAGCACTTTAACAACTTCCCATCATCTCGCCTTCCAGCTAGCAAATCAGGTAAATCAAATGCGATTTCTGACTTGTCTCACATTTCAACTGTGCGGCTCAATCAGGCCAGCTGTCAAGCTGACAAATGCTCGATTCGCTCTGCTGTACCGATTTGCTGTATCTAATACACAATGTAACCGAAACAAAACAAATTGAGGCGTTTTTAAATTATCGTGGCGAGACATTGATTCAAATATCTTTTTATAATATTCAATGCCATATGGCAAAGCTGAGTTTACACGGTGCACCGACTGTTGAATCGATCTAGACTCAAATCCAAATCTCTAGAAACGCTTTAAAGTTGGGATAAAGCATACGCCGGGTAAACATATTAATTGTACGACTTCCCACTGCTCGAGCTGCGAGCATAAATTGTGCGGAAATATTAAAGGAGACAATAAATCAGAATATTTATTTACGATTGCTGTCTACACATACCAAAAGCAGCCAGAGCCGGCAACGGGGTTCGATTGTGCCAGCTCCACCCTCTCGCAACCTCGCAGCCTCGCAGCATGTGCGATTCGCTTGCGAAATTCATGAGGGTGTCTGTCTGGCAGGCAGCTTGTTTCGGTTTCTCTGTCGCCTCCATGTGGCAAAGGCAAATATTTATATTTGTGTGAAATGTGTTGGCATTGTTGCCAGTCGCCAGTCGCCAGTCGCCAATGCCCGACATTTTCCTTTTCCTGCCATATCGCCTGGTGTCCTTGCTTGCCTGTGGTTTGTCCAACAATAAAAAGCATTCAGCCCTGAAAATGCATTAATTCAAACCTCAATATCACAAGAAACGCGGCGTGTGCACAAGCCCCGTGTTTTTATTAACTAGTGTAAATATCTTAATAAATTAAATGTGCTGACTGCAACAAAAAGTTAATACTATTGTAATTCACTCAACGAATAGTTAAAGAAACTGAGTATACGACCGCCACCATAAAATATAAGTGGATAGGCATCACCTGCACGACTTTAACTTAAAATAATATTAAGATAATAGCTATTCAAAAAAGAAAAAGCTGTTCAGCTAAAAATGGAATCATTTTGAATCTTCGAGAATATCTACGAAATAAAACACATTTGATACATTTTCTTTTAATAGCGCAAAGCAAAATTTATATTTGACTCATACTAGCGGTCTAGAAGACCTTGGTCTGACACCCTTTAGATAACACAATGGAAGGCGTATCTAATTATATTCATTAATTGGCATATTGCGTTAAGTAATGTCACCAGAGACGAGGCGTATGCAGAAACAATCAAATCACTTACATATAAGATTCAAATTTTACAAAACAAAATACTAAAAATTATTCATAGCCTACCATATTAGAATTAACATCAACTAGAGTAGATAAGCTGCATTCTAACTTTATAAATAGATGTTTAGGCTCCATTTCCCCACACATTAATAATATTATTTCACATACCCAGTATAAATAAGTTTTAAATTTAAGTTTAAGTTTTAATGTCCAGTTAGGATAATTTTTCTATAAAAAATAAGTTTTCACCCCTTACCTATGTTAAATTCTAACAGATTAAAAATAAGGTGTCCCGTATAAATAAAAAAATATTCGCTTCAAGAATATCTATGTACTGAAATACAATTTGTATTTTATTCCTTTAAAAACCACAAGCGTTTAAGAAGGAGATTTCAGTGGTGGTGGATCGCAATCTCTCAAACGGCAAAATGGGCAGCATTCCGGTGGGGGTACGTCAGTTGGAGGGTATGCGCTGACAGGAAAATTCCGTGGGCAGCAGCCCAGAAATGGCGAATAGATTTCATCAGTGGTGCACTGAGCGATTGCCATCAAAAATGGAAGCAGTAGAATCCACTTCATAATGGAGCCGTAGTCTTCGATAAACTGTTTTGTTGGACCTTGGTCTGACACACTTTAAATAACCAAATGGAAGGCGTATCTAATTAGAACTTCGACTGGCATATTTCGTTAATTAAGCTTCTGTAACGAATCTAATGAGCCGTGTTACCTTGAAAATGTCATCGTTTATCCTATTTTATATTGCTTATGTAAATATTTATTCCATGAAAATGCATAAATTGAAATGCATAAATTGAATTCAATGTCATCAGATGCGAGTATCAAATATAAAATAGTGTTAATGTATTAGTGAACTAAAATGTGATGGGAGTAGCAACTGTTAAACCATCAATGGAATCCATTTAACTCTTCGAGAATATCTACTTCGTAATAGACGCTGGGTACAGTTTTAAATGAGCGCTGCTATCAAACTTGTTTTTTACCCCTTACAAAATTCACAAGCATTTAAAAAGGACGACAAGTCACTCAATCTTGAATTTCAACTGGTGGTTCGATTTGATGTGGTGATCCGCGATCGTCTGATTGTTATCGGAGTATATGTAATTCGCCTTGGCCACTACATGTACATATGTAAGTATGGAGTAAGAGCAGAAAATAATATAGTATGTTTGTTCAAGGTTTCTCGAGGAGAACACGAAAATAGTTATGCCAAATTATGAATATTCAGCAAGTAATTTGTAGTTAAAGACTCGGAGAATCGGGAATCAGCGAGCCGCGCATCGCCTGACAGCAGTGCGATCGGAACACACACAGACACACAACTGAAAACAAGTAAGAAAACTCTAGTCGAGAGTGCTCGACTAGATACTACCCTGAACGAAACTAACTATGGTTAACAATTCAATTTCGATGTATTTAAAAATATAAATAAAATAGAAAACTCATTTAATTAAATATATAAAAATTTTAAAATTACGACACCACCTCACTGTTCGAATTTCCAATGGCAAAACTGAAAGAGATTCACTGCTGCAGCGCCAAGTAGCATATCTAAACCAAACTAACTGCTGATGTGACTCTATGTGTGCACAAGTACAGGAAAATTGCTGTTGCTGCAGCACGTACGTTTGTTAGTTGATCAAATATTTTGTTATTTTTTAACGTCGATTGACTTAACCGAATTTAATGAAACTTTCAGCATATGATCTACATATTCTAATGTATAATTGACAAATTTAAAATAATTAAAAATCATTCAAATTTAGCTACAGTGGCATCTGCCTTTAAAAAGAAACTCGACATCCGCGCTGTACATACGGTATTTAAAAAAAAAAAACAAAAAATTTCAAGTCTCTAGCTCTTATATCTTCTGAAATCAAACATACGGACATACGAATCAGCTCGTCGCCCTGATCAAGAATATATATACTTTGTGGGGCCTGCCACGCCTCCTTCTG